CACGGAAGGGGAGGTCAACTACTACCAATCACAATTGTCCTTTTATCCGCCCCCAAATATCACAATCTCAATTGGCTTGCTCGTTATGCAAGAGTTCACTATTTAGCACGCAGATTCCTCAATATTATTTTACCTTGCGAAAAACATTGCAATGAAACATCTTCCACTCTATATAACGGAAATTCCACTCAAATTTTTCAATTCTAACGTAAGCCGCGGTGCCAAGTGCAAAAGCAAACGTCACGACCGAGGGAAAAAACAGTGTTCAAGATTATGAAACTTTTAAAAAACAAACTAAACAAGTTGAATAACCCTGGGTGTAAAATATATAAGGTAGATTGGCAATTATCAAACGACAGAACTAAAAAGAGGAGAAGAGTAATGAGCGAACTAAGTTACGGTGTAAAATTTGCATTAATCTATGAACAGAAAGCAAATAAATCTTTGTCATAAATTCAGTCAAAGACGTTCAAAACAGGGAGTGAAGGTTGCAAAAACAAAAATATTTGATACCGATTGCGGGCCTGTACATTATTATGTGCAGGAGACCCTTCTATTTACCTATTGTTGCCACCCCATTTCCCTTGAGTGAATCTGCAGTTTCTGATTCACAGAGATTTTGCACGCAGTTCTGAGACTCTTCAGCCCAAGCAGTCATTTGGCAAATAGAAAAAAGAACTTCGTATTGCCCGATTCTTTTAGTCTGAAGTGGGGTACGCAACTAGCGGGCGGGTTTAAAAGACTCCATGATCAACAAACAATAGGCATATTTGCCACTGCTTGGGGAAATCTGGACCTACGATTTGTTGGCTTATCTTGCCTTTATTTCTGTATAAAAGCAAGAAAAATCCAGAATATCTCTAAGTGCCCCCTTGCCTGGCTACTTTAATGGTGAATAGCATGCCATATGAATAACTTATGCCAAACACACGGCAAGAGTTTATATTTACAGCTGACAATGTAACACGCTGGAACTAAGGAAGGCTGAAAGTCTTAAAAGCGTTCTGTCAAGAGCAGTAAGAGACGAACCGTGATATTAAAGAAAAACTAGATGACAGTGCTCTCCAGGTACTCGAATAAAACAGTGGTTTTGAATAGCATTAGTGCAGTAATGCAGAATAGGTCTCATTCAGACCTATTTAATTTAACACCGGTCACCCTGACCGATACGAACGGAAAACAGGCAAATATGTTGCTTATTTGCAACAAAGCCTCCTTTTCACTGATTGCTCTTTGCGATAACTTCTTTGGCATTCTTAAGAGTATTCAGAGTGGACTTAACACAAAAGTATATGTCTTGTGAAACTGGTATAACAGGGTTAATAGCATTATTATGATTTCAGTAATAACGATAGCCATGGTCCCGCCATTCAAAACACACTAGATATCATAGTGCTTAATGTTAGGTGTGGTATAAATCAGGTGGCTCAACTTCGAGCCATTGCTTTTGAGATGACGCCCGATGTTATATGCATAACAGAATATTGGACCCATCCAATCATTTCTGACTCCTCGCTTATCATAGACGAGTATGATCTCTACTGTCAAGATCGCATCAATAAGCGTGATGGTGGTTGTCTTCTCTATATTAGAACGTCATTTAGACGCCTTTCGTTTTATCTAAATATTTAGATAAAACGGAAAGCTTCGTGAAAGCTTTGTGAAATATTCAAGTTTATTTCAGAGTCCGCTTTTAAAGTTAAAATTATTGCTGGAGATTTTAGTTTTCCCGAAATCGACTGGCTTTCAAACTATCGTCCACCTAGATTTCAGGCTTTCCTAGATACCATTTATTTTTCTAACTGTATATAAATTCCAAATTCCAAACTGGTTCTC